ATATAAAAAGTAAAATGAGGTTTACCATCTCCAGTTCACTCTTTAGTCAGGGCCAAGATGGTTTTTAAAAGACATGCCATTTCTACTGGGAATTTATTTGGAAATAATGCTAATATTGAACTATAAGAAAACATTGGAATTGTTGATAACATTTCTTGAGGCACGTATTTTATTATCAACCAACTACTCAGAACAATTTTACAGCCTGAGAGCCCACATTACACCTACAAACTTGTGCACATATATAATAGAGGTTATATTCTTCCATGCAAAGATTTACAGTAAAGCCATGAAATCCCATTTTGCTCAACATGTAAGAAAAATTGCCCATAACACTGGCACCTACAGCATCAGATGGTATTTAAAAATCTTAATATATTTACTAGAACAGTATTTATGAAATACATAAATGAATTGAATTAGAACACTGTTTTTCATAGATATTTGTGATACCATCCAAACTGTAACAAGCTAAATGGGAAATACTTGAAACGTAATAAATAGATCAAGTCTACTTAAATACAATGATTTTAAGGGATTTTCCTTACTGAGTAAATTTCCTTTTAATTCATAGTCTGAACACTAAAAATTATTACACATTTTCTGCTCCTCCCCCCTCTCTCCTATCTTTTTTCTTTTGTTGAAACAGGGATTCCTGTCCTTCAAACTGGCCTCGAACGTACTATGTAGTCAAGGAAGAACTTGGACTCCTGTTCCTCCAGACTACAACCCAAAGTGCTGCAATTGTTCTGCATGGGCATCTATTTTCTACTTTCTTGAATCTAAAATGACTTCCTTCAAGCAGTTTTCCTTATATTACAATTCTTTAGTTTTGAACATTTTAGACACATTTCTCTGTCATATCTATAGAACTGGAACTTATGATACTTTCGTATGAATTGTGAACTTAAGATGATTTTCATAATAATTGCTGAAAATTAGATTTTCCTCTCACCCCTAATTCTGCACACCATGAAGCTGATTTTGAAATAAATAAAATATGTAAATTAAGTAAATAAACACTTTTTATCTGTTAAAAAAAAAAAAAAAAACACAAACCCATGGCACCCATCCTTCCTTTACACTTCTGTGGAAACAGTCCTCTGCCTAGAATGTCCTTCCTCTCTTCTTTACCTTTGTATGCCTGCCTTTTATTTCATAGTAACTTCCTCAGAAATGCTGTCTCTTTCCCAGGCCATAGAATTCTCATCATAACACTATTATTGAACCACCTTTGTGACACCCCCAATTGTTATTTTCTATGGACTTGTGTGGGTGTTTGATCTCTGCTTGTGATGGCTACTAATGGTTGTCAACTTGACACACCTAGGAAGAAGGAACCTCAGTATCATATTGGCTTGTGGACATGTTTATGAGGTACTTTCTTGATTCCTAATTGATGCAGGCATGCCCAGCCCACTGTGGGCAGTGCCATCCTTGGGCAGGTAGGATCTGGGTTGTAGAAAAAAAGGTAACTGAGCAAGCCAGGGGAAGCAGGCCAGTAAACAGTGATACTGAAGTTTTTTTCTTCAAGGTTCTGCCTTGAGTTGATGGACTGTAATGAATGAATAAGATTAAGTAAACCGTTTCCTCTCTAAACTGCTTTTGGTCATGGTGTTTATCATAGCAACAGAAAGCAAACTAGGATGCCCCCTATGGCCCTTACCTGAGGGCTAGGTTAGGATCCTATCTGACTTGTTCTTTATCTCAGGTTCTAGCACTAAACATCTGGTAAAAGAACTGTTAAGCTATTAAGAGGTGTTATGGAGAGAAGATTTTTTTCCAAATATATAGACTGAAGACCTAACTCTCAAAATGACTATACTTGAAAATAGGACCCTTAATATTGCATGAGATCACAAGATCATAAGTGATTGATGTTCTTAGGAGAGGAAATTTGGACACACTGAGAGACAGGAGTGCAAACACAGAGGAAAGAACATATAAGGACACAGTAAAAAGACCAAGGAGTAAGACCCAGGAGAAACCAACCCCACATGTACCTGTACCTTGAACTTCCAGCACCCTATACCATGAGAAATAAATTTCTGATGTTCAACCCATACAGTCTGTGGTATGTTACACGTCCAATAAACTCAGATGATCTCTGAATTAAATAACCCATCCTTTGGCTTTCAGAGGTTGAATAGATGTCCTTGTTGTTTTAAAAACAATTCTAGCTCTGCTGCCATTCTAGAGAAGTTATTTAACTCTACAAGCCATTCTATTTCTATAAGGTGGGTATAATGAAATTTTCTCCCATCTAGAGTCAGGGTGAAGAGGAAACAAGAAGACACACAAGAAAATACTGAACACCATGGTCTTCCAACACAGAGGGCCTGGGAAAGCTCTTCTTATGTGATTGAGCTGGCTTGTCCACTAGGCTGGGATGCAACAAGGTGAAAAGTTAAAGTGCATGCTGCTCTGTCCAAGGAGCCCAGACCAAGATGGCTGCAGCGCACAACCAAGGGCTTGGCACAGCATCTTGTGATTTTTGTCTTGGTGTTTGGCCTCAGTATGGACATGTCTGCATCTACAGATCATATTCTTGAGCTCATTGTTCCAGGAAGGACTCACCCAGACCAGAAGAAAGGCAGCCCAGCCCCTGGGTACTTACCCACGTCAGCTCCACTGAGGGCTTTTCCCAGTGGCCAGGGCCTCATATCAATTCTCTTCCCATTAACAGTAAGCGACTGCACACAGCCTTGGAAGCCACGGTTTGTCCCTGTTGCTCTGACCAGCCAGTAGGCACTGGGTGCCCCACCGAGATAGAGAGGTGTCCGGAAGGTAATTTTACTGTACTGGCCCTTTAAGAAAAATGAAAACTTTATCTCTCATACACAAACACACACACACACACACACACACACACACACACAGTCCAGCAGATTGTGAGGTTGTGATGAGGGGCATGGTTAAGATGTAGGTTACAGCCCCAGGGATTCTTTTATCTGGTTTGTCTTTAAGACAAGGCCCTAATGGAAAATGAAAACCACAGATACAGGCTACCATACCTCAGTGAGCTCTGAGAGGGCAGAGGTTCCAGAAGGGGTAGTTTTGAAATGGCTGGAAAGGAAGGGGGAGGTCAAAGCCAAGCCAACCCAGAAGGCCCTGGACCAGGCCAGTATCCAAAAACAACCATTCTCTTTCCAGGCCTCACACCAATTTGCTGTGTACCTTGGATGGGTCCATGGGTTGTTCTATGCCTCAGAAGGTGGCCTGTGTGGGCTAACATCTGCCCTTTCACTGCCTCAGTTGCTTTTATTTTACATACTGTAAGAAACACTATAGGGTAAAAATTGTCCAACACATTGTGTTGTGAAATATCTTAAAATTTGCTCATGGTTATAATTCCTTTTTAAAAAGTTTTAGTGTTATGATAATGTAGGGAAATTTCTAACCCTGGACCAAACCACGATCTGGATGGTAAGTTTGGAGGCCACAAAATACAGGGCTGAACATGAGGTAGGAGAAAATTAAGGCACCTTGGTCATTATTTTTATTACAAAAATATTTTATTCATCTAGATTAAAAGATAAAAATGGGAGTTGGAGGAAGGCACAGTCCCAGAACTTATAAAATGTCCCAAATAACCCCTGACTATAATGTGTACCCTTTAAGCATTTGTTTCCAGCAAATAGGAACCCGAAACTGTTTCATCTTTTCTAATGAAGAGCTAAGAATCACCTGTTAATAGCAGACTGAACTGCACAGTACTCCCAGAAGGATCCGGAGGGCTGTTAAGTTGTTTGCCTCCACAGGACATGTTGTTTCTCTCACATAACAGAATGCTCTTTTGGCTTATTTCATTCAGATTCTCAGGAGCCACTTCTCCTTCATCCTCAGTGCTCTGATCTTGTAGCCCTATCCTGGACTTTAGGACGAAGCCTAAAGCTACATGCTTTTCCTTGGAGCATTGTATCATAGGGATGGGTGAGTTTGCCCTTGAGGTTGGCCTTTATCTTTCCTAGGTTCCCCAGGAGCCTGCAGTGACTGCCTATGTGTGTGAGTTTCCTAGATTTGCATTCCCGCAGGGGAATCTCTTAACAGTTTGAGATAACTTTGAGGATAATGTATACTCAGAAACTTGTGAGGGACCAGTTTAAAATCACCCTCCAAAGAACTGTGCCTGCCAAAGATCTAAATCTTGATGACTTCTCCTCTCCCCAGTCCCATGCCTCTTCTGCCTCACCAGTGTCCCTGTGGGGGCACTTTCCAAATACGTCCTATATACAGAACTTCACCTCAGGTCTGTTTCTGGGGAACCAGCTTAAAATAGCATTACTGTCTCCCAAGATGGCTCATTAAACAGTCCCCAGCTGTGGTCTGGCTCATACACTCAGCAAATCCCAGTACCACTAGCTTCACTCTAGCACCAGTAAAATTACATGCTTTTTGTAATTAATTACTTTGTTTATTAAAGTCATAGAATCTTGGGATTGGAAAAAAATATAAAAATTCATACAAGTTCTCATTGGTTGCTGGGTTCCATGCACATCTCTCTTAGCTTCTATGTGTTACTTTTTGAATACCCCTTGATACAGGGAACCACCAGTCCATGAGGCAGTTTGTCACACGTTGGTATGAGACAGACAGCAGGCTCTCCCATGGCTCTCCCATGGCCCTCTTAAAATGTCCTCACATCTCTTTCCCCAGGTGCTATGCCTCCATTAATGCAGACTTATGCTTTCTTTGGCTTGTTGGTGCTACCACAGAGCCCCGCTCCCCAATCTGTATTAACCTCCTGGCCTTCAACCACTCTGCTTTCAAGTTAGAAGTCTGGACCCAAGATTGAAGTTTCTTTATTTTTATCAAACTTCATTTGATCATGTTATAACATTATTCTTGGATTGTGTAACCCTGTCTTTTTTTCCTCTTTAGCAATGGACATAAGCAATCTCTCTGGATTGGAATTCACTAGATGTGAACTCTTGTTCCTTTTGATTCAAATCAATATGACTTTCTCTTTTTATTTTTAAATTAAATTTCTATTTTATGAGTGTTTGCATGTATGTAAGTGCACCATTACAGGGGCCAAAAGAGGGTGTTGTGGGATCCCCTGGAATCACAGTTATGATAGTTGTTAGCTACCATGTGGGTACTAGTAACCAAACCAGGGTCCCCTGCAAGAACAGCCAGTGCTCTTAACTGCTGAGTTGCCTCGCCAGTCCCCTCTTTTTATTTTTGGTCAGCAAGGCATAGACTTTATATACCATGCAATGTTTTGCTAGCAGCTCAGTAAGGACCAGTGGTGGGAAGGATGCTTACACACAGGCTCAAAGACTTTCTTGCTACCCTTTCCCTTGGAGAATACAGAGACTTTGCTGATTACAATTACAGGCTTAGCTCCTTAGCACGTACTAATTCAAACTGTTTATTCTAAAACATAATCCTCAAATTACCATGAGCATAACAGATATGTGAATACCTCGATGATCTGTGGAGGAATACTTTGCTGACCTGCAGAGTGACCCAAGAGTTTAATGACTTACCACCTCCTATAGTGATGCATGCCAATAAAGATAAATGGATTATTCTCATTTATGGAACCAGGTGACTCTTTCCGGCTATTTGCAAAAGCCATTTGATAACACTCTTGTTTTAAAAGCAACCTTTGTGTTTGATGCTAATGACAGGTTCTTTGCTTCCCGTGTGGGCTTTTCTTGACCTGTGGTTTAGACACCTCTGTGGAAAGTGAAAGCATCCCTGCACATATGGAGTGTGCCACACATATGTATCTAGAGCAACGTTACTCACAAGTTTAAGGCACCTCCCCAGGGGGGGAGTGAAAGACTGTTCAGAGAAGCAAAGACATGGAAGACCATACCATAGCTCTGTGATGGGCTCTAGGAAAAATCAGCCTCCCCAAAGAACCCAGAACCTTGCTCTCTGTCAAATCCTTCTTGGGTACCAGGTGAGGTGGGCAGAGTGTGGACTCATACTCACCTGGGACTGGCCAGTCACTGGGGCGCCATTATTCAACTGCAGTAGTCCACTCAGTCCGTCTCTGTATAGCATTACCGTGTGCCAAGCTCCTAGTTTGATTTTAGTCTCACTTATGATGATGGCAACCCCAGTTCCACAATTAAACCTGTGGGGAAGGAAGATTCTAGAATGAACTAGTTCATGTTTCCAGACTCCACAGTCATCACTTCCAAAATAATGCTCCTCTTTTTTGTTTTGACGCGAACACGGGCGTGCGTGTTTATGCATAGGTCAGCAGTTCAGCAGTTGACTTCCGGTGTCTTCCTCAGTTGCTCTCCACCGTACCTTTTGAGACAGGGTCTGTCACTGTGCTAGGAACCTACCACCTGGCTAGACCGGCTCAGTGAGCTCCAGGAATGTCTGTCTCTGCCACACCCCCTAGAGTTACAGATACTTGTGACCACAACTTCTTTGTGTGGGTTTTGGGGATCCAAACTCAGGCCCTCATGCTTACATTGCAGCTACTTGACTGAGTCATCTCCCTACTCCCTTTTTTTTGGTTTTGAGACAATTTTACTCTGTACCCCAGGAAAGAGGAGAAATACACTCAAATGGCTACAATATTCTGTTTCTTTTCCAACCTCCCCATGTCCCAGAGCACCCAATGGTCACTATACCTAACAAGTAAAATTTTGGTGTTTTCCTGTCAATTTGTAAATAACCATCTGCCACTGCCACACAGACTGCAGAGATTGCCTCCTGTGGGAAGCATGGTGGGCCTGTGTGTTGTGTCACCTGCAGCTCTTTCTCATGGCTTTGTCTCTCGGTCCTCACTAGTGCAAGTGGGATGGAGAGGCTTCATGGAGGGAGATGTCAGCCTCACTCAGAGCTGTGGAGCCAGAAAGCTGGTGCAAGTCAAACACTGCCTGTGCTGCTGTCTCCTCATCCTTGAGTACTGGAACCTGTGATGTTAGAACCACTGGTCCAATCCCAGTGGCTACCATCAAACATCCAGGAATCAAATTACTTAGCATGGGGTTCCACTAGGGTGCTTAAACTCTCCAACGTAACCAAAAGTAATTAAAAAAAAATTTTTATGTTTATATACGTGTGTGTGTGTGTGTGTGTGTGTGTGTGTGTGTGTGTGTGTGTGTGTGTGTGTGTGTGCTCTTTGAATGTGTGTGTGGCTAGAAGCCAATGCTGAGTATTTTCCTCTATGACTCTCCATCTTGTTTTTTGAGACATGCTCTCTCCCTGAACCCAGAGCTCACCGATTGGCTAGACGGGCTGGTCAGCAAGCTCTGAGATCTGCCTGTCTCTGCTCCCCCAGTGTTAGGGTCATAGGTCTGTGCTACCATTCCTGGCTTTTTATGTGGGTGCTGGGGATCCAAACTCAGGTCTTCATGCTTGCTCAGGAGGCACTTCTCAGCCATCTCCTCAGACCCCCAAAGTACTTTTAATGCAGAAATAAAAGAATCAGTATTGGTTGGTGTTTACTGAGTGCTTACTCCAGTAATCCTGTACAAGCACAAGTGCTCATGCAATCCCCTGCACACTTCTTTAAGGAAATGCAACTCCAGAGCTCACATCATCTGCCAAAGGTCAGGCAGTAGGAAAATGGCACCATCAGAAGACTAGCTAGGGCACCATGGGTAAAGGTAAGATGGATGCCCATCATTCATTCACAGACAGGTGCTATGTATACTTCACAGCCCTACCTTTGCCTCCCATAAAACCAGACATTAGTTAAACTTGGCTTCCGAAGTATGTGGGGGAGAAATGATCAGGGTAGAAGAGGCAAGTTAAAGGGTTCAGCCCAGGCCTGGGGGAGTCAGGGCACGGGTCAGGCCTCTGGCAGCCCTTGGGAGACTATAGTACCTTCCTGTCTTCCTAGACTGTCAGTCATCTTTGTCACAAGGAGACTAGGAGAAGACCCCATCTTCTTCCCATTATATATACCTGAGCTTCAGAAAAGAGTGGACTTCATCTCTGGCTCACTTCCATGATCCCACAGTGGGTGCTCCCCACCTATTTGCTGTTGAATGAATGAATAGGGCAAGCTTCCAGAGTTACCCTGCAATTGTGGCTCTCTAGCTCTTAAGAAGCTAGTTCCCACTCATCTGCTCACCATTCGTTCTGTGACTGGAATCTAGCTGCATGTACTGAATTGTACACATAGTGTGTGGGACTCTGGCAGGAGTTACCTGAAGTGGAGGGCCCGTCGGATGAGAGCCAGGGACATGAAGTCACCTCTCCCGTGCTCACTCTCCCCACAGTAGAGTAGCAAGCCGTCCTCTGCCTCTGCCTGTGAGTACACAAGCAAAAGCCACATGAAGCACGGCCACCTCGTCTTCCTCACAGCACCATCTGCAAACACTCATGAACATGAAATGTGAGCATTCTCCTCACACCACCCTACCATTGTAAGCACAGGGACTCCAGTGAGTTCCCACACACCTGGTCCTTTTCTTTCATATTAAACAAATGGCAGTGGGTGAATAGTACACGAGGAATGGCTCTGAGGTGAGATGAAGGCCCGTCTCTGGCCGGCTTGTGCTCGTCAATTTCCATGGTCACCGAAAAGCATTCCATTTTTAATTTGTTCTTCCTACTCTTCTTTATTCCAGCTGGGAAACTGAGTTTGCTTCTTTGCTACTATCTAGACAGTACCAACAACTCAGTGGGTAGCCATGCTGGTTATAGTAGCTGAGGACAGGCTATCTCCTAGACACACAACACTGTGGCCATCACCTCAAAGGGCTGCTGGTTTACAGACCTCCCCCCAAACCTTTTGCTTCTTCAACAATGAATCATATTACATTCAAGGTAATGGTTGAACATGGATTTTCAGATGGTTGGGGCCAGAAAGCTCCCTGTAAAGAGGATTTGGGGATGAGGACTATATTGCTGCTCCTGAAATCCAGACTTCAGAGGAGTCGCTACTGGAGCAACATTCTCCTTGGGAACCTTCTGCTAGTGACTTTCACAGTCTGTAACAATCAAACCCACCCTTCCCTAGCAGTGTACTTGAATGTTGTGAATGTGCCTCATCCCCACTGGACACTGTCACTGGTTTCAGGCCAGGCTCAATGTGTCATACTGATCCTTGTTTTGTTCTTCTTCCCCCTCCTCCCCCTCTTCCTCTGTCTTTCCTTTTGGTGTAATCAGGTAATCAATAATCACTCATCAAATGGCCAGCCTCTTACCCTGAATTCCAGAGTAATTTGAAATGCCTGATAGGAGTTCTTCAGAGGCTCAAAGGTCACATAGGAATGGCCAAAGAACTGAGGATACCGAATAAGGATATCTACAAAGAAAACCACAACAGAGCAGAATGTCATCACCCCGTTCTCCACCCGACAAATCAACACACACCATTGTCTGCATATCACCAAAACCCTTCACTGATCTGTTAAACTTAGCTTCCTTCCCACCTCCTTTCCTCTGCTTTTTATATCTACTACTCTTGGGGTGATGGAGCTTCTGGAACTCTTCAGAAGTAACTGGATTTTGGAGATCGGGTCTTGCTTTCCCAAAAAGAAATCAATGAAGTATAGCACCACTCACTTGCCAGCTGGGAGTACATGGTACACTGCTATGTGTCAGCCCTCTCAACCCCTGTGCACGTGTGTGCATGTGTATGTGTGTGTGTTTGTGTGTTTTGGCTGTAGTTTTGACAGAGATGTGATGATAGAGCTCACCTCCCTGGTGCTGTCAAGATAATCTCATGATGGCTGTTCCAAATGACTGTGCATTTGACACATAGAAACAGAGTGGCTACCTCAGAGCAGCAATGGACACTGCTTCCATTTTTCCTGGCAGAGCTAATTTACTGATAGGAAAGGGCCTATCTTATAAAAAGACTAGAAGGAACTATGCTTGCATCATGCAACTGTCCACGGGTCTCTGAGGGACCAGCCCACCCTTGTGTGCACCCTTATTCCAGAGCCTACCTTCTGAGCAGCCTTCACCTCCTTTGCCTAGGTTGCAGTGGCATCGTGAGCCCCCCCATGTGTAGTCATTGGCACAGAAGCTGTCAGCTGAGCAGAAGGTTTCATCACAAGACATGTCAAAGAGCCTTGACATCTTGGTCACACTGCCCTTCTCCTTCCACTGGGCAGGCGTGGGTGGGATAGCCACTGTTGTTGCAAGGAGAGATGCTGAGGTGGGGTGCATAGGCCTGGAACCCATCTCTGGATTAGAGAGAGATGTCATCTTGGGTTCCATCAGGAACTTCTTATTCCCAGCTTTGGTAGCAGGAAGAGGTTTAACCTAAAGTTTGAAAAGGAAAGGGCTCAGCATAAACACTGAGTGTGGCCTTTTTACTGCCATATTTGTGGTTATTGAACCCACATGCTCATTGCTAATAGTTCCAGAAACATCCTCAGGATATCAGTGGGACAAAAGTCTGACCTCAGTTTATGGATGACGAATTTGAGACTCAGAGAGTTTAAGTACCTTGCCCCGTATTGTTCAGAAAATCATTGGTAAAACTGATAGTCTATGACTTATTCTCACTACGCTATTACAAAATGCAGAGCTTTGTCAAGGTATCATTCATTTCCTTATACCATCTCATCTTACAAAATTTGCAAAGTTGTAGGTAGAGGCTGTCTAAAGAACGCCAGCCCTATTGGAACCTCCCTACTACTAATTTATGACCCCATTTGAGCTTCATAGTCAGAGGAAACAAATCTGTGATGAGAGCAAATGGGCCTTTTAAGTCTGAAGTTAAATGTCCATGGTCCATTGGCTGAGCTGCTGTGGTCAGCAGGGGAACAAAGCACTTTTTTGTAGAGTCAACAAAAGAGATGATGTTACCTCCTCAAAGGAAACATCCAGATCTAGGTCATCTTCAGATCCGTCATCATCCTCAGTGACTCCCGTGCTGGTGATGTACTGAGGTCCATAGTGGCCACTTCCTGCCTCCTCGGGGCCTTCACAAAGAAAAGTGGCACACATCCTGACACCTTATGCCTTCTTTGCCCCACCTTCCTATCTTTAAATTATTCAAATTTCAAGTTAGTATATAGAGTGTGGCATTTTCATATATTTATAGCATTATATTCTCATTCAGATTCCACCCCCCACTCCTTCCTGACAGTGGTGAGAGTCAGCATCGTTACCTCAATTGCACATCCACGACTTCCATAAAGTTTCCACCAAGTTTTATTTTCAATAAGTGCAAAGCGCACAGTCTAAGCCAGTGATAAGAATCCTCTGAGTAGCCTGCGGTTATTGTAATTAAAGTGCAAAACTTATCTCTTTCTACTTGGCACTTTGTTAATTAAGAAAAGAGAACTTTTAAAAGAAGACATTTATTAGAATCAGAATAGTCAAACCACACACTGAATGCAAAACAAATGCAGAGGTTACAGCACGATATGAAAAAAATGATAAAATGATAAACAACATACAAATTTTTGTTAGCAAATAAAAGGATGACTTTTATTTTATAAGAGCTATACTGTTTGTTTTTATAACAACATCATGACTTTTCTGCATATTATTTCTCTGATGTATCAACATGATATGGTTGGAAGTATCTCTAGTCATAGAACCCAAGCAACTGGGAGATCGGCTTGCTGATTCTGCATTGTTGAACAAGTCACTTAATCTTACTAGATCTTGGGCTTACAAAAAAGAAACCAAAGGAATGTGAGCTAGGAAGCTGGCTCAGTCACTAAAATGCCTGCCACACAAGCATGAGGATTTGAGCTTGATCTCCAGAACCCATATGAACAAGATTGGGAATAGCTGTGTCCTGGCACTGGGGAGGCAGAGACAGGTGGATTCCTGGGGCTCGCAGGCTAGCCAGCTCAATCAACTTGTTGAGCTCCAGGTTCCAGTGAGAGACACTGTCTCAGAAATCAAGATGGACAGCACCTGAAGAATGACACCCAGGGTTCTCTCTCTCTCTCTCTCTCTCTCTCTCTCTCTCTCTCTCTCTCTCTCTCTCTCACACACACACACACACACACACACACGTATATCCCTCTCACCCACACACACACACAAAAAAAAAAGGCCTTCATGGACACCCGCACTCACATGGCACTCACACACACACACACACACACACACACACACACACACACACACACGTGTATACCTCCCTCCCATACATACACAAATAAGGAATGAGATTAGATTCCATTTTGAGTTCCTTAACTTCTGTGACCCTAGAAGTCACATTGCTGACTCAGATACACTGCAGACATCTGTCATATTGGGTAATGTTTGAAAAAGAAACAACTGGAAACTTTTACATAGAAGAACATAAAAGGAGCTAGTTCAGTATAGAACTTGTATGTTTTGGGGATTGGAGCTTAATGTTCTGTATTCTAAGCTTCCAAGAAGACATGAGCCATCATCAGAATCCATCTTTGTTCCACAGGCCCCAGGGGAACTTGTCTTAACAGCTCTTGGCAACAGTGACAGAAGGATGCTTGCTCCCCATCCCTGAAGTTCCCCTTAGGAAGAGGATCTAAGAACTAACAACTGTTGGGTTCTTGTCCATTCTTTTCCATCTCTATGAGGTGAAGGAAGAGATGAAGCTGTTGGGTGGAAGCATTTAGCCCACACTTCGAACTGAGAGATGCTGATCTCTCCAAGTACCCGGGGAAGGGGAAGAACTTGGTCCTTCCTGTATCCCTTCTCCAACTCGGGAAAGCAGTGGCCTGGGCAGGTAGAATTGCCAGAAATAATCAAGATATTGCTGAGTAGGCTATCCTAGATTTTTCAAAGGGCAGAGGGGGTGCTTGCAATCCCTCTTTACTCTCAGAAAGCTTTGTCTTCTAATTCAACCTTTATCAGAAATAAGGATGCTACTGGATTCTTTGGTAATGTCATCATCTTGCCTTCCAACTGATTCTTAAAAAAGGGCAAAAAGGGAAAGGGCTATTAATTGGATCTGCTCAAAACTTCAGTGGCCACCAGAATAATCATGGTTTGGGAAAGGCCTCTGCTCTGTGTGAGGTGGTAAATTATGGGCAGAAGATGAAACATCTGCAGAAATGTTCAAAAACTAGTTGGTCAGATGGAATAACGACAGATCAGAATTATGGCTGGACTTTAAGAGTGCATTTTCCCATTTGCTGTGGACAGGACCATAAGAAAACACTCCCTCTAGGTTTTCTGTGTGCTATTTGCTAGCAATCAACTTGTTGGGAACATTTTATCAGTGATGAGGATTTTCAGAACCACACTGCATGTTTTGGGGCATGGATCTATTGTATAGTTCAGTTGCTAATATGGGCTGATAGCACAACTGGATTAAGAAATACTTGTTTCTTTGAGAAAGGATTGTCTGGCATGTCTTGAGCTTCTGAAACCTTGATGGACAGTGAAGGAAATCATGTGAAATATCCCTTAAATAAAGATTTATTCACTTTACAACAACAACAAAAACTATGGCCTGAGTCTCTTCAACGTCTTCCTATACCCTGTGTGCCTTGTCCTGCCAGTTAGAGCCTTGTCTCACATCAGTGTATCCTTCTCACCCTGCTCTGTACACACTGGTTTTACTTTCGTATTTTTGGAAACACTGTGCTTTCTTCCACTTCAAGGCCTTTGCACATGATGGTGGCTCTGTTTGGAAATCTTATCTGTCATTACCCATTCCCTTTTCTTTTTAATTCTTTAATGTCTGCTCAAAATTACTTTCTTAGAGATGTTTTCTTTGTATTCCAGTGAGGCCAGTTCCCTTCTTGGATGCTTTCATGATTCTCTCCTATAGCACCATGAACTTGCAATAACATGCTTATTTGCATGATGCTTTCACAAATAAGGTTTTCTTGCTAGATTATAAAACCCTTGAAGAAAGGTTATCTGTCAAGAAACACTCACTCTGGTCATGGTGTAGGGGCTTACAAAATGTATGGAAATAAAAAGAGTGATCTGTTGAGATGTTTTGAGCATATGAAATACATGATAGCATCATTCATCCAGGTTCTAGACAGGTAAGTCCATACACTCGAGAAACCCTAAAGAATCTGAAGCTTACAGACAATCCTCTCTGGATGTAAAGGAAATCATACTGTGGAAGTTTCCAGGACAACCACTTGTACTCAGGGCCCTCCCTGGATTCTCTTGGTGTTTCCTTTGCTATAAGTCATGTTGGCTTGGCCACTTGCTTTAAGTGAAGCCATCCTTACTATACTTTTCAAAACATGACTGAACATGGAACCCCAGACAAACACAGGCAGACCCACCACCTGTGGGGGCCTTGATGTGAATACCTCTGCTTCACATTGGAGCTATAGCTGATACTCAGCCCAATAGCAACCTCCTACTTTTGCTATAGATGATACAGAGACTAAATACTGGATTTGTGGAGCAGCCATGGAGTCTGATGGAACTCCCCTTCCTGCCACATGTTCTTAGGCTGGAACCATCACAGTGATGGTAACTGTGAAGGCTGGAACTGCAGTAGCTAATGCATGTTAAGTGAGACAGATAGAGACTGAACAACTCAATGAGACCCTATTTGGGGAATTCCTGCAACTGAGTGCAGGCCACGAAAGCAAGTCAAGAGAGCTCTGCTTGAAGCAGAAGGGTAGCCTCAACATCCAGGACCCGGATGTCCTGTAAGGATATACCAGTTTCCCTTTCTCCTTCTTCTCCCCCAGGCAATCTGCCTTTATCCTTTTGCTCAACCTGAATGAAACTGACACACAAGCCTGTGTTTCTAGGGTAGCAGGGGTGAGGCTGCTGGTCCAGGGCGGCTCTACATGCCTACCACAGTCAGCCTTGTTCTTTTTGCTCAGCATACTTCACAAAACTCTCTTACAGAGTCCAAGAACAGTTCCTGAGGCACCAGATGGTATCTACAGCCCTTTGCCACAAAACTTCTCTGATACCTTTGGACTTACAGAGTGAGCACAGGGGACATGCTGATGGCCTCCAACCCCCTGTGGGGCAATGACTTTTGAAGAACATTCACTATTCAGCGAAGCAGAAATCACCCTGCCTTGCCCTCTTCCAGTCTCCCTTTAAACACGATGGGGCTGGGGAAAGTAAGTTGTCTGTACTTGCTTCTCTATTACCCGCTGAGTTAAAAATGGTCATTTCATTTGAACATTCTGTTTGTTTGTTTGTTTGTTTGAGACAGGGTCTCCCTGTAGCCCCAGCTGGCCTGGAACTCACTACATAGACCAGGGTAGCCTTGAACTCACAGAAATCTGCCTGCCTCTGCCTCCCAAGTGCTGGGATTAAAGGCATGTGCCACCATACCCATCCATCATTTGAACATTCTTAAAAAAGAATTGTATTGACATGTGATGTGTACATAGAATAACTTATGTTTGGAAAACAGAGACATTAGTGCTCTTCTCATGAGCAGTGTAATGGAAGAAAACTGGAGTGAGCTAAGGAATACACAAGAGGCTTAAGCAAAAAGTGGATATAATAAATGTGAACAGCCATTGGAGCTTGGATTTTGAGTGCTCCCCAAAGGGCTGTGCATCAAAAGCTTGGAACCCAGACTCTGGCACTTTTGGAAGATGGTGGTCGAACCTTTAAGAGGTAGAGCCTGGTGGAGGAAGAGAGGCAGTTAGGTCACTGGGGTTATGACTTTGAAGTCCTGGCCTCTCCTGCCTTCCCCATCTCCCACAACTCTGCTTCCTGGCCATCATTCGGTGAGCAGTCTCCTAATGAAGGTTTCTACCATGATGTCCTGCCTGACCCAAGGCCCAAAGCAACAAAACCCGGCAACTATGGACTGAGACTTCTGAAAGCAAGATCCCAAATAAACCTTTCCTCCTTATATGCTGATTATGTCAGGTACATGTCACAGTACCTGAAGGCTGACTAACACTGGAACACAACAACTCTAGCTTGGAAGAAAGCAAAGAAGCAAGTGATAGGTAAAAGATTATGGGGGCAAAGGAACATTTTCTGTGAGCAGGTAATGTATGTTTATAAACCAAGATGAAGGATCCAGTAGGAGAGCAGAGTGAAAAGGGGACTGTGAGGTATGCTGACATATAAATGGTTGTGCTGACTAGCTTTAGTGTCAACTTGACTCACCTGGGTTGAGGGAGCCTCAGTTGGGGAATTGCCTTCATTGGACTGCCCTGTGGTCATGTCTGTGGGGCATCTTCTTGATTGCTGAGTGATGTGGGAGGGCCTAACCTACTGTGGGTGGTGCCGCCCCTGGGCAGTTGGGCCTGTGTTGCATAAGAAAGAAGGCTGAGCAGCGAGCAGGGGAGCAAGCCAGTAAGCAGCATTCCTTCATGGCCTGTGCTCCAGGTTCTTGCCATGAGTCCCTACCTTGGGCTCCCTGATGAACTGTGACCTGGGAGATGTAAGCTAAATAAACCCTTTCCTCCCCAAGTTGGTATAGGTCAGAGTGTTTGTCACAGCAATGAAGAAACAAACTAGGACAATGGTCTTGTTTTTAACTGGCTTCTATAAGCCAGGGCTCAGTTGACATCCTCTATTTGGAAAACAGATACCAGGACACAGAGAGTGAGTGGTAAAGAGGGGCAGATACAGCCTGCTTGTGTGGTTGGGAGGGACAAACACACGTGCCTGTGTCTACCTGGCAAGAGGACTGATGCTGTGACGTAAATGAGCAGCAGTGTCCTGGGTTTGATGTGGCTTCTGTGGGCACCCACTGTGCTTCAATTCTTTTTGGGAATTCTGATGGACAAGTTGCTCAAACCAAAGATACTATCATCCCTCCTCAGGTATCTGAGAAAGTGGTAGGAGAAAATAATTGCCAACAGAAAATCCTGCATTCAAGGAAGTGATTGTTCAATACTAAAAGTGAAACAAAGACATGATCAGAGACAGGTCATTGTTGGCAGAACTTGAAGGATTTCCTGAAAAGTATGCTTAGGAAGAGGAGGAGGAGAAGTAGGGGAAGAAGGAGAAGAAAGAATAAAATGCCAAGGGTAATAGGGAAAGAAACTTGTGAGTGAATGGACAAGTCTAAATAAGCATTAAAATATTTTTTTACTTATTTATTTTTATTTTATGTGTATGAGGTTTTTGCCTGCATGTTAAGTGCACACATTATGCAGTGTCTGCAGAGGCCAGAAGAGGGCATTAGATCCCCTTAGAACTGGAGTTATAGATAGTTGTTAGCTGTTGTGTGGGTGCTGCAAAATGAACTTGGGTCCTCTGCAAGAGCAGCCAGTGTTCTTAACCACTGAGCCGTATCTCCAATCCCCTAAACAAGTATTGTAGTTTTTAAAGTTTAATGATATGTTGTCAAATGAGGTGGAACAAAAATTCTGAAAAGTTTCATGTAAGACAAAAAGAAACTGAATTAAATGAAGCTCCTCATCCTTTTACCATCTAAGAAGAGGGTAATAGTTGTTGACTAGCTTTAGACTATGAAAGCTTGAAAGGAAACACTTTCCAAATAGTCCATAAAAGAATATATAACTTCATCCCAATTGGCAGAAATAGTAAATCATAGAAAAGAGGAAAAAAGCAGAAACAGAAATTCTCCCTTTTCAATAAATAATGGAAAAAACAGAGTAAGTTGAAAACACAAACTAAGATTGTAAAACTAAGAATGATAAAACATACCAACAATTATAACTGTAAATGTAGTGAACTTGTCATTTAAAGCAAGGCTTGTCAGAATGGATGTTTAAAATTTGAGCTACTTGGTGTTCTAGAAAATACAGAAAACATAAGACACAGGAAGATAAGAAGAGAATACAATTGCTATTCAAAATAGATAAGAGAAAGCTGGTAAACCTATCTATATTGTTATTTAGCAAGATAAACCTTAAGAGAAAAAAAAAATGATTAATGATAAAAATGGTTACTAGAGCCAGGTGTTGACCCAGCACTCGGGAGGCAGAGGCAGGTGGATCTCTGTGAGTCTGAGGCTAGCCTGGTCTCCACAGCGAATCCAGGCCAGCTAGGGCTACAGGGAGACCCTGTCTCAGAAAGGCCAAAAAGAAAAAAGAAAAAAAAGGTTACTAGGAATGAGGGAGGTGGTTCGGCGGATAAAGCACTTGGAGCACAAGCATGAGGACAGGAGTTTGAACCCCCAGCACCCACATAAAATCCAGATGGGCATGATGGCTTGCCTGTAATCCCAGTGCTTAGGGGCAAACTGGTTAGCTAGACTAGTGAAATTGGCCAGCTCCGGGTTCAGTGAGGGACCCTACCTAAGCAAATAAGATAGTGACCAAGCAAGACAACTGACATCAAC